CGTTCTAGTAAATTACTGAACCCAAGGAGGGGGTCATGCGAACCCTCAATTTATGGCCAGTTGGTCAAAAGTATGGGAGGCCTTGATTTCCGACAAGTATCTGAAGTGGGGGGCAGTCTTGTGTGATGAAGCCCTTAACATATGGAGTCTGAGCTCGTAACTCCAGGTGGTTAGTGTGAGAACCGAGTTAAACTGCAGGACACCCAATCGGTGTCTGCCAAGAAACAGAGAATTGCTTGATATGGAAAAACCTAAATATTTGGTGTCAGAAGCACTGTGAGTAGAGAAACACAGAAGTTTTCCATTTAGGGGGTCACTGTTACCTACAAAGGGCAGGAGGAGGCCTTCTGGGTGCTAGAAATGACTGTATATAGACAAAAGTGCATCTGGTTGTACACTTGGGATTGGTACATTTTGCTGTATACCTCAATTAAAAAGAAAAACGGAGTTTCTATTCCCGAAGAGTCAAAAAAGATGGTGAAATCCCTAATTATGGTATACCCATGCATGTTTATCCAAAATAACCCTGCCTCATAATGTTAAAAATAGCAGAGCAACCTCAAAAACAGGTTTTGACATGAAAGAGGCCCCCCAGGTGAGGCCGCAGCTCGCTCCCGCCTCCCCACCCCCCAGGTGAGTAGGGGCATCCAGCACCCCATTGTTGTTCTGCCGTTTCCTTCACTGCAGGTGAAGCTGGGCTGCGCACTGCCCTCACAAGCCCGGGTCCTTCACAGCAGGAGGACCCGGGAAAGGGCCATCCCTGAAAGAAATCACTAAGACCCCGAGTTGGAGGCCACCGGGCAGCCGACTCCATCATCCTCAGTCTGGTGTGTGAGGGTGGGTTATTGGTGTCAGTGAATAATTCTCAAGAGGGCAGGCTGTATCGTCACAACAAACCCATGTCAAAGCAGATACTGGAGCACCTGGCTGCTGGGGGTCACCGTGCTGCCGGCAGACACAGTGGTTCAACCCAGGGGCCTCATCCTATGATGCCCCCAAGTATCAGGGACTGAACTTCCCAAATTCATGTTCCCACTGACAGCCCACCTCTACTTTGTATGACATCAGGATTCCACGTCACATCAGATTTCACTTGGTTCCACCCAGTTCTAACCCGCCTGTGTAACAAGCCTATTTAAGCAATATTCAAGAACTTTAATCTGCACACAGCCATGAGTATGAGGCCTCCCCAGTACTAGAAATCCACTTTAAAATCATAATTCCAAACTGAAGTCCATCTTTTTTCAGGCTCAACATAACACCAGTAGTGGCCTGGTACCCACTAATCATCCAACAAGTGTTTACACTAAGCATCATAAGCAAACACCGCGGGTGAGGACTTTTCCAGTGTTACCAAGCTGCCTCATACTTACCCACGCAATCAACATATTTAGTTTCTCTTATTGAAAACTCCGCCATCAACAGGTCAACAGGGAGAGACCAATTAATTACAATGTAGCCATTCTATCCCCTTCGAAGTCAACTTCCTCTCACCACACCCAGACAACCACCTGCTCCCCTGGCCTATCTCCCTGACCTCTGAGCATGGGTGTCCAGAGAGCTCACTGGAGCTGGGCCCCTGCGTCAGCCCACGCAGCACCCCATCCCCCTCAGCAGCTCAAGCCAAATTCTTGCAGAGCGCTCTCTCTCTCACCCACCCACCTCTTAAGGGGTTAGTAAATCCACGGGCTCTACCCTCTACAAACATCCGGAACCTGACCACACTGCTACTGCCAGGTCCTCGCCACTGTCCCCTGTGACCTGACTCTGCACAGCCTCTCACAGCCCTCCAGGTAGCCAGAGGGACCCTTAACACACAGCTGGGACTCGGTGGCTCCTCCCTCAGACCCCCAGGGCTTCCAGGCTGCTCACCCTCCTGAATTCCAGCTGTCTTCCCCCTAGCCCACCCACATGAGGAGGCCTTCCCTGACAACCCTCCTCAAAACGGCTCTGTGCTGGCCCTCCCTCCTGCCATGGCCCAGCTCACCGCCTCACCTGCTCTCTCTTCTCCCTGGTATTGTGGCATTGTGGGCCTGTTCCCTCTAGAATGTCTTCTCCAGGAGGCAGGGACTTTGAAGGCGGGAGGAGGGACCCAGGGCTGTGCACAGGGTGCATGAGCACCCTCCCTGCTCCCCAGGCTCCCGGCCCCATCCACTGACTCCTACACCCACTAATCCAGCCCTTCCTCCATGCCGCACCACTGGCCCAGCTGTGCCCTGCCCTGCTCCAAAGCGGCACCCTGATCCTGGAACCTGTGCCAGCTGTTCCTTCTACCTGAGTCACCTCATCTACTCCACCTCCTACCCAACCCCTGCTGTGCATCCACCTCCCTAAATCACAATCAGTCCACAAGACCACCTGCCCCAAATGCCATCTCCACTGCCTGCTGGGCCCTGCAGGGGGCGTGGTCTCCACCCTGCTTCGAGCTGGGCACACCACAGCTCAGACCCTGGGGACGGCTTCTGCTGAGCCTCCTCCCCTCACCACCCAGGCTCAGCCCCCCTGGACAGGGGTGGGGCACCGTGGTGGGACACCGACATGCCCTCCCTGTGGACACAAACCCAGGCCTTTAGGGAACGATCCTCACCAGTCTCAGTCTCCACAAGGAGTGAACCCGGGGCAGCATGGGAGGACTTGAGAACAGATAGGTGGTGCACCCTGATTGGGACCTTCCTGTCCCTGCCTGTGTGTGCTCGTGCCATGCAGCCGTGAAAGCCCACTCGCCACACCATGCTGCCAGTGCCCTCACCAAGGTGACGGGCGGTGGGCAGGCTGGCACTTCCTACTGCCAGAGGGGGGTCCCAAGCCTGACTCTCAAAACACAAAGCAAAAATACCTTTTTCTCCCTGAGAAAACGCTTTCTCTGGCAACAAGTGACCACTGTAAACCCTGTGCTCTAGCCCCAAATCACGACCATGGTTGAAATAACCTGTTCCTTCAGGTCCCAGAGGAATGACATTCCAGTTTATTTCTCCACTAAGTTTAAAAACTCCTTAAGAGAGACAACCTTGGCTGAAAGCCACCTCCCCCTGCCTCCCTGCAGCCCTGAGGCACGCACACCGTGTCCACCCTGCTCCCTGCAGCCCCTAGGCATGCACACGGCCTTCACGCTACTCCCTGCACCACAGGTATGTTTCCGGGCTCCTGCCATGGACCACATGTGGTGCTGAGGGGACTGAGGCATCATTCCCAATGCAGTCAACAGGCCGTGGCCACACAGAACAACACAGCCTGGGGTGGCGGAGGTCTGGGAGGCAGGGGGACACTGGAAGGGCATGTGGCACAAATTGGTTGTGTCGGGAGGCGCCTACAGGGTTGTCCCAGGCAAAAGGACTGGCGAGCACACAGGCTCCATGTCACAGCGTGCGTGTGCCTTTGGGAGCCTCAGCGTGGCTGGGCTTTATCCTGAGAGCGAGGGGCTGTGGGAGTGGGAGAGAGTGGGCTGGGCGGGAGGCAGGGGAGCAGCAGTTCAACACGTGAAGAGACAACTGCTGGAAGCGCTGAGCACTGTGGCTGCTCAGCAAAGCCTTTAGGGAAGCAATTCTTAAGTTTTCGTGTTTGAAACTCAAGCAACAGTGAACTTTGTAGTAAGTTATACTGCAACGAAGCTGTTTTCAAAAGAAAAAAACTCAAGCAACAACTTTGGGTTGGTTGGGACTTCCACCTAAAAGCAGTAGCTGAGGCGCTAACCACCGCTGTCCTCAAAGGTGACATGTGGCCGGAGTCTTGCAGGGCCAGGTGTGACCTCTGTGGGCTGGGAGTCAAGCCCCCCCTACCCCCAACTCAGACAAGGGCAGAGCGTCTGCCCTCACACGCACAGCTGTCCTAGGTTCTCCAGTGGCTGACCACCCCACTCTGTGTCCAGAGAGCCTCTCTGGCCCTGAACAGACACGGAGGTTTTCTGAGCCGCCCCACTCCCGGCTCCATCCCTCCCCGCAGCTGCCTCCACTCTGGATCCCATCACGGAGGCCCCTGGATGATCCAGCAAGTTCCATGTCCTCACCACCCATCTCCGGCCTCACTCTCATGGTGGAAACCGGCACCAGCCTCATACAGGCACAGGACATCCCCGACTCCACTCAGAGGCTCCCCAGGCCAAAGGGGCGCGGCTGGAGGCCGACACGAGGGCACCCTAACATTAACTCAACCGACCAAGAAACGCTTCTAGGATCGCGGATGGCGGGTGGGGGCTGAGAACGGGCACAGCAGGTGATGCCCTGAGAAGGGCAGAAAGGCGTCAGGGTCGGGGGCGGGCGGGTGAGCAAGACCGGGAAGGGCGACGGCGGGCAGGGCGCTGGGGCCTGGGTCACAGGCTGCAGGGGGCAGCGGAGTGAGAGCAGGCGGCCGGAGAGGTCCAGCGCCGCCCTGGACGTTCGGGGAGCTCGGCCAAGTCCGAAGCAGGTCAGAGGTCCCACTGGGGTCAGGCGACCCCGCAGCTGGGGTCAGGGAAGGGGTGAGACACCCACCGGCCGCCACCGAGGCTCGGGGCAGGGGTGCGGGGGCGCTGCGCCCCCGGCTGGAGACCCCAGGTCGTGACCTGGACCGTGGACCCCGCGACCTGGACCCTGCGACGTGGACTCGCGTTGTGCCCCCGCACTGTGACGCAGGCCGGGACCCTCGCCCCGGGACCCACGCCGGAGCCGCCGTGGGCGCCCGCGAGCGTTCGCGAACTTTCCTGCTCCCACCGCGCTCCGACTTTCAGTTTCCGGCTGCCCCGCTCCGAGAAATCCCCTCGGGCCCGCGGGCGGCGGCGGCCCTCCTCCCGGCCCTGCCTCCCCGGCGCCGCGCGCCCCCGGCCCCGGCCCCGGCCCCAGCCCCGGCCCCGGCCGCTGCCCCGACTTAGGCTCCGACCCTCGACCCCGACTACGACCCGGACGGCCAGACTCACCAACGGTCGCCGCGCGCCCGGAACTGCGCGCCCGCCTTGCCGCCGCCACCACAGCGGACCCGCCCCCGAGCCCGGCTGACGGACTGACCCGGGAGCCTACCAGGAGCGCTCAGGGAGCCGCAGCGGGCGCCTATTGGTCAGGTTTCTCCCCCGCCTCCCTGTTCGCCTGACGGACTGACCCAGAGGCCTACCAGGAGCGTCCAGGGAGCCGCAGCGGGCGGTGATTGGTAGGAGCCGCCGCGGCGTGAGTACTTAAGTTGCGGGTTTCCTTTCGCAGAGCCGGCCCGGTGCTGGCGCGGCTGCTGGTCCTGCGGCTCCGAGGGCTGCGCGGGCCGCTTCCGCAGGTGCCGCGGGAGGGCGGGACTCCCACGGCAAAGCGCTCGCTGCTGCTCGCCTCCCGCGAAGGGTCATCCCTGGGCCCAGGGCACCGCGGCGGCGCCTTCCCCTCCCAACGCCCTAGTTACATTTACAAGAAAAAGTACCGAAAGACCCCGGCCACTTCAAAGGGATGAAGGCGTGCGAGGTCTCCTTTTGGGTACTGAAATGTTCGAGAACTAGACAATGGTGGTGATTGCCCGGTACCGTGAATGTATGAATGACACTGAATTGTATGCTTTTAAATGGAAACATCTAGAAATGAACCAGCGGTCTTGGCCAGAAAAAAAGGGGCAGCTCTGGGAGGGCCGACTGTTGACCTCATCACTGGCGCTAAGTGCGTGACCTGAGGCGAGTCTGTTTTGTTATCTGCCAAAGGAGAGTCAGAGCTGCTAAACGTCTGGCAAACTCAGTCTCATACCAGCGTCTGGAGATGGGGACTGCTCTCCCCATTTTGCAGAGAAGGAAACAGGCTCAGAGAGGCAAGATTTCTTAGCCCAGGTCGCACAGCACATTCAGCACCTCCACTCCAGGGAGATCATTTGAAGCAACGGGCACTGTTCAAGGATGGAGGAAACCGAAAAACAGGCGGGCTTTGCAGTTACGTGGTTTAAACCATCCACACTGTGTCCAGAGGCACTCGCATCACGCCGCATAAGTGGTGATGTGGTCTGGAGTCGGAATTCCCGTGGGAGACGGCAGCAAGGCAGCCCTGCCTCTGATAGAAGGTCCACGAACTTCAGGGCTGAGTTTGCCACGAGCAGCCATGGGAATCTCCCCAGGCCCCGCCTACAGGTTCACTGAGGTCTCACTCAAGCCCCAGACGTAAGCAAGCTCCCAGGTGTGATGGGGTTTCGCCCCCCGGAGTCTGGGAGGCCTGTGAACCCCCCAGCAGCCCAGCAGGAAATGGTTCTTGTTGCAAAGATGAGGTTCGCTGCAGCAGCGCACCCCACTCCCTTCAGGGTAAAGTCAGGAAGTCGTTCACTTGGCTTCTGCAGTGACTGCCGGGGAGTGTCAGGAAGTCTCTCTCTCCCAGCATCAGGGGCAGTGCCGAAGCGCTGGCTTGGGGCCACCTCAGTCCCACCCTGAGTCCAGAAAAGATGTCCTGAACGAATCTCTTGCTCCTAGGAAGGCAGCCGCCCCAGCCCTTGGCACTGACAGGACTGGCCAATCTCAAAGTACTTGCTAAGGCTTTGAACATGAAAATGCTTCCACATATTTTAGACTTTGCTGCTTTCAAAGGATTTTCAAGCACAAATTTTTTTTTTTTAATTTGATTCTGACCACAGGCCTGCCAGGCATACAGAACTGGGGACAGACAGAGAGGGAGCCTCCAGGGCGTGCCCCTGAGGGGGAAGTGGCCGACACCCACCCCCCCCCCTCCACCCCGGGTCCCCTGGCCTGCCAGCTCGGAAGGGGTGACAGCTCCGTCCTGGCAGGCTGGAAGGGGTGACTCACTCGGATCGTCAGGCAGCCCAGGGGGTTCCCACTCAGGCTCCTTCCTGCCAAAAAGAAAGCAAAACTCAGCGTGCAGAGACACCCACTGCGGGGAGGGGCCGGGGAGGGCCTGAGACAGCCCCCAGCAGGCGAGGGAGGGGCCACATCATCCTCCCTCTCCCAGGGGGCTGGGGTCTAGGGGCAGCAGCGGGCACAGACGGTGCAGGCCTGGAGGCTCTGTCCTGGGCCTCAGTGCCCCCCAGAGAGAGGCGTGGGCCTGGCTGCAGGCCAGCCGATGCTGCAGTGGACACCTGCAACTCGCACGCTTGGCTGGACAGGAGAGGCCCTGTCAGCTGCCCCCTGGACCTGCAGACCACTTTGGGGCAGCTGCCACGGCCGCGCACTCTGCCCGAAGGCTCCCAAAGGCAAGCAGCTGGCCCCCTCCCCTTTGTTTCCCTTTGTCACGTGTCATCTGTGCCCCGGAGGGCACTTCTGAAGGCACCTCTGCTCCCCTAGAGGCCCTCACCTCACGACCTTCACTCACTCAGGCCTTTGGGAGCACAGACACCAGCTTGCACGTGGGGCCAGGAGGCAGGAAGGCTGACCACTCAGGAAGGTCCCCACTCAGGCTCCCAGACGTGGGATGCGCCTCGTGTGCCCAATGCCATCCCCAGAGGAGGGACCAGCGTTTGGCAGAGCCAGCCTCCTAAGGTGGGGCCACCTCACCGAATACGACCCGCTTCTCCTCCTAGGAGTTCACCCCTCTTCTCATTTGTCCGACACGCAAAGGTCAACCCGGGGCTGCAGCTCCTGAGAGAAGCCGGTTTCACTCTCACTCTCTGGTCACCTAATGGACGCATTTCCAGAAAGCCCAGCTGCCAGTTCTGCGCCAGAATTCCCCCAAACGGCACAAGCCAGGAGGGGCTCCCCCCGCCTTCCCCCACCCCAAAAATGCACAGCCACCGCAGTCCGTCCCCCAGGGCAGCCCCCCAGGAAAGGAGAAAGACACAGTGATGAGGCCCCACGGTTATCTGAACAGCAGCCCTGCTCTGGGGCCAGGGGGTCAGGCAACTTGCTGACACCAGCAGTGGGGACAGTCTTATCCCTCACGGGGCGTCCCAGAACTGCAGGGAGGAGGAAGTGAAGCCACGTCTGAAGGGTCAGCCCAGGGCTGGTCCCCAGCCAGGAGGCCCCAGCCAGCAAGGTGAGCCTGTGCTGAGCCCCACACGTGGTGAAGCAAGCACAGTGGTGAGCGGCCCTGCGGAGCGCCACATTCCCCCTAAGCAACGGCGGAGGGACCAGGTTTCCTGTCCGTGTATGTGCTCTGTAGACTTGGGAAGGATACACAAGAAAGTAATAGAAGTGATGGGAAAGGGACAGCAGGGGACACGCTCACTGTACACCATCTCCCACTTTTAAAACCACCTGGTCGTATTACCCATTCAAAAACGTTTGTGTTTTAAGCAACAGGAGGTCACTTCAGAAGCTCTGGAAAACACAGAAAAGTACCAAGAAGAAAGTAAAGGTCACCCCAAATTCCCCCACCCATAGACAAGCTCCACCGAGACTCCCTACTCAATTTAACGCCTGCCTCCCTTCAGCCAACCTCAGAACCCAAGTGCCACCCCACACCCCAGAGCCAAAAGCTCAGGAGATGGCCTCACACACAGAGTGAAATATACCCAGGCTGCCCTGGCCAGCCTCAGCCTCCGCTGGCCAGGCGACCTGGCCCCAGGGCCTCTGCACCAGCCAGGCCCTCACCAGCTCCCTCTCTCCCCCAGGCGCTTGGTGGGGCCTGGTCCCTCTGCAGGTCTGAGGGTCTCAGGGGAGAGAAGCTCTCTCTCCTGGTGGCCCTGTGTTAGGTGGGCTCCCCTCCCCATGCCCCCTGTGACTAGAATTGGTTTGTGTGCCAGTGTCCTCCCCCACCAGTGGGTCCCGCAGGGCAGCGGCCTCTGTGCCTCATTCGGAGCCCAGTTCCTGTCTTGTTCTTGGATGGATGAAGGCATGAATGGCTAGACAGAGTTCAGGTCCCAGGGGCCACCTTTGGGGGTGGACTGTCTGCCCTCCCGCCCACTCTCTCCTGGCACAGCAGCAGATCTGCGTGCGCCCTCTGCCGGCCGCAGTGGGAGCTGCCGCACTGGCCCTCCAGCCCCAGCCCTGACTCTCCCTCCCACCTGCTCCCTGCGAAGACCTTGCTCCCACTTCCTCACTTCAAACCCAAAACCCGTGAGATATCTCTGCTCACACTGGAACCCAGCAAGTTCACCACCTGGCCAAGGTCTGCAGCCCCGTGTCCAGGAGCTCCAGGTGACCCTCCGAGGGTCTCCCCTCCATTCTGCCACAGTGGGCACTCCCAGGCCCACCACTGCTGCCATCCATAGCAGGGCTCTTACCTGGTCAGCGCTACCCCTGGTTCTTCAGCCCACTTATGACCTCTGACCCTGCTCCTACCCCTGTCCCCGTCCTTCCTTCTTCCCCCGACCCCAGGCCCATCCCTGTCAGTCCCACCCTCTCCAGCTGGCCTCCACTCCTCACAGTGGCCATCTGCTGATGCCCTCATTCTAGGTGGCCCTGTCTTCTGCAACTGACCAGGGCTGGAGGAAGTTGTTCTCAGTGCGCTCCGGAAGCTGGGTGCCCTCCTCCCCGACCTGGACCAGTCACTCGCCGTTCTGGGATGGCAGCCCACGGCTTCCCCTCCTGCACACAGGCCTTTCCAGTCCTCACTGATGGCCAGAGGACTGGACACCTGATCCTTTTAAACCCTGCTCCTTCACAGGACCAAGGTGTGTTCAGTGATGACGATGGCCTAAAAAGAAAAGCGCGCAGCGAAAATGTTCTTTCACCGAGCTTCATCACACACTTGTGCCAGTAAAAAAAGAAAACACATTTAAACAGTGCAAAAGAGGCAAAGGTGATGGATTAAAACGTTTATGACATTAATGTATTTTTTCAAAAACAAAGAGAATATTTATGGCAACTTATCCATTTTGGACAGTAATGAGTGATAACGTCATAGTCCCGTTTCTGTTTTTGAGTCTTAATGTCTGCAAATTTGACAGTGATTTTGTCACAGTTGATCTTTTTCTGCTTGTTGTGTTCTATAGACAGTCCAGCTGTATTTGCCCATCTATTTTTGCTCGTAGTTGGTCAAAGAGCACTTTTAATTAACTTTAATTTTGGTAATTTTCTTTCACTCGAAGCCACCGACACACAAAGTCAGGTAGAACCTTAAACACAGGATGCCTTTCGCAGAGTACATAATGATTCCACTTCACAGGACATTCCGGGAATTGTGATTCCGTCTGTGTCTTTGTTTAGTGGAAGCCGATCCTGAGGGCTTTCAGGCATCTCTACAGTTGAAAAATTGTATGTTCGACTGAAAACGCCAAGAGCCCGTATAGAACAGCAGGACTGAAACAAGCACAGCGGCTGCGCTAACGTCACCTGTTTTGCCATTTAAACACAGGAACACAAACTTCCACCAGGGCTGGCAATGCGCGCGGTGCCCAAATTTCAGGAGCTTCCGCCAGAAACAAAGGGGAGTTTTCACGTAGGAAAATCTCAAAATCAAGAGAAGATCTTGAAAGCAGTCAGAGAGTCATTACGTGCAGGGGACAACGATACAAATGGATAAGAAGGACAGCTCACGTCTTATTGGAAATAATGGAAGTCAAAAGACAATGGAGAGTAACATTTATAAAATATTATATCCTTCAACAAGACAGATGGTAGTTCCTCAAAAAGTTAAAAATAGAACTACCGTATGATCCAGCAATTCCCCTTCTGTGTATGGACCCAAAAGAATTGAAGGCAGAGTCTCAAAGAGATATGTGTATACCCATGTTCATGGCAGCATTATTCACACTAGCTAGGTGTGGAAGCAACACAAGTGTCCGTCGATGGAGGAATGGATAAGCAAAATGTGATAGACACATACAATGGAATATTATTCAGTCTTAAAAAAGGAAGGAAATTCTGACATGCTACAACATGGATGAATCTTGAGGACATTATGCTGAGTGAAATAAGCCAGTCATCAAAGAAGAAATACTATAGGATTCCACTTGTGTGAGGTTCTTAGAATAGTCAGAATGATAGAGACAGAAAGTAGAATGGTGGGTACCAATGGCTGAGGGGGAGGTGGATAGGGAGTTTGTGTTTAATGGGGACAGAGTTTCAGTTTTACAAAATGAAGAGTTCTGGAGACAGACACTGGTGAAGGCTTCACAACATTATAAGTGTACTTAACATGGCTGAACCATGGACTTAAAAATGGTTAAGGTGGTAATTTTTATGTTAAGTGTATTTTACCACAATAAAAGAAAATTTTTTCAGAGAGGGGGCAGGGATTACACAAGGGGTGGACTACCAGAAGGTGGGGTCGTGGGAACCCTTGAAGTCGGTCTGCCACTGTAGTCACAAAGAGTTGAGTCCTTAAACGTGTGAGTAACCCTCCTTCCTGAGGCATTCAGAGTCTCACACTCACTAGATTTTACCAGATAATTTTTAGTTGATAACTTTTAATGCTGATTTTTCATCAGGGATACAATATTCAAATTAATATCTTTATTTTAGGAATACAGACATAGCCAGTTTTTTTCCTTTGTTTTCCAGAAGGCGTTGGAATTGCCTTTTCTCCATGCATGAAGATAGATGGACAACACTGGTGGGCTGCTTATCTTAAACAACACAGGCAGAGGAGTCGCTGAAACGACAGTGCTGTGGCATCTCTGGAGAGACAGGAACTGCTCACCAGGCCTCCCAAGACTCGTTCTCCGTGCCACCTGCTGTGGCTCCATCCCCAAGGCAACCCTCCCCTGGGCCTGGAGTAAATCAGGAGGACTCAGAGCCAGGATGGGGTGTGCACAGGTGACCTGAGAGGGAGTAATGGGGGAGAGTACAGACATTCATGTCATCTGTGCCCTGGTGGTAGTGGGTGCCACAAAGATATAGGCAGCAGGCCTGGACTTCCGACCAAGGGCCAGATGGGATGATGGCTATCCTGGCAGATACCTGCATGGCCAGAGGACCCCTAGGTCTAGATGTCCCCTTTCCAGGCCCACGTGAACAAGGGCAGACACAATGCCACAGAGGTGGTGCAACTTCTCTTGCCAGGCTCCAGTCACAGCTCTGGGAAAGGGCCTCATGGTGGGTTCTCATGGCCAAGTGTTGGTTAAGTTTGCCGAGCAGGATATTTTAGCTGCAATTGGTTAAGACCACTGTCTCTTTCCAGGTGTGCTCCTCCTTCATCACATTCTTCCAGTGGAGTGACCACAGGCACTTTGGGGACGGCTCTAAGGAGAACTTGAGTTGGGGTGCATTTAGCTAGGGTTTATGGCATATTTTTACGTGGTTCACAGTCTTGCTGGTCTGTCCTGGGGCAGGGATGTCCTCTACAGCTGCCAACTACCCACAACACGCCCAGCACTGGAATTATGCAGGAGTGAAGGAGAAACGTTTGCAGCAGGAACCAGAAGTGAGTCTGTGCAAAATTCTTCCAATCACACAAGACAATTGTAAGCAGAGGACTCAGTTCCCCACGTACCTGATAGAACCAGAGTTGTCTCCTCTGATGAACGGATTCCGCCATGCAGCATACATGATTTAATACAGCATGTACCTTTTTTCTTTTTGGATGGGGAATGTATTTATCAGAATTCCTGTGTTTGTGGAGCATAAACCTATAGCAATCCTACAAACAGTGGCACATCTAAGTAAAGCCCCAAGTATTACCCAAACCAATGCCAGTAATAACAATCAGATGCAAGTTTGATCTCACATTCAAGAGAAAAGTCTGAATCAGAGAGAAGTCTGAATCGTCTTTCTGTTGTTCCCGTAAAACAATTCTGCAAGGTCGTGATACAGGATTCAAAGAGAACACAGCCAAAAACGTAAGCAAAAGCATTAAAGAGGCGCATTTGTTAATTCATACAAATGTTATTTTTCTGAATTTTGTGCTTGTGGTGTTTGTCAGTTTTTTAAAATTTATAATCAATTTATAATCAATTGACTTCTTTTCCCAATCATACAAAATTATCATAAAATAACTAAAATATCACAGAAAAATAACGTATACATTTTATACATTATACAAAATATAACACATTATACAAAATATTCATTTTTGTAATTTTGTTTTAATAATTTTATTTTTTTATAATTTTATGCTTTTTTTCCTTAAAGAGTATACGCTTTCCCTCCAATTGGATACGCTTCTGGCCCCATCAAACCTGGGGCCACCCCTGCCCCGATCTTTGCATCACGCGAGCACAACTCCAAGGAAATAGAACTTCAGATTGTTGCAGGCTGGCAAAACGAAGGCATGAAACAGAAACTAAGTCAATTGCAGAAAAATTGAGACCACATTGCCCTTGCGTCCCGTTTGCGCACGTGGCCAGGTGCATCCCCATCCCCAAGGTGCGACCAGGAAGCCGGGGGTGGCCCCACGGAGAGAGCCGGGGGCGCCGGTCCCTCAGGTTTGCCCAGAACCCGCGTGGTGCCCACCACTGGGGTCGGGGCTCCTGTCCCTCCGGTGCCCCCTCCTCCCCGCAGCCCCTCCCTCCTCTCGATCCTCCCTCCCCGCCCCGCCCCCCTCCCCGCCCCCTCCCCGCCCCCTCCTCCCCGCTTCCCCTCCCCTCTCCCCGCCCCCCGCCCCCGGTGCCTTCGCGGCCCCGACGTCACTCGTCCCACGTCGCGCGCCGCCCGGGCGACCCCCTCGCACAGGCCGGGAGCGGATTGGCCCCGAGCCGCGGGAAGTGCCCGCCCCCAGAGCCGCCGGCCAATGGGAGACGGGGGCGGGGCCGAGGCCGGCGCCGGAAGCGGCCGAGTGACGAGAGGACGTCGCGTCGCCGGGTCTCGAGCAGCTGCCGCGGAGCCGCCGGACAGAGCGCCGCAGACGCCTGCCCGCCATGGCCGAGAGCGACTGGGACACGGTGACGGTGCTGCGCAAGAAGGGCCCCACGGCCGCGCAGGCCAAGTCCAAGCAGGTGGGCGCCGCGCGGGCCTCGCCACCCAGGACGGCCAGGCTGCCCGGGCGGGGCGGACGCGGGGCCGGGGCCAGAGGACCCGGGCGGAGGCCAGGAGCCAGTGGGCGGGGTGGGGGGCGGGCCGGGGCCCGGGGTGGGGGCGGGGCCAGAGGGACGCGGGCGGGGAAGGGGTCAGGCGATGGGGTGGGGGCGGGGACAGGGGAGCGGGGCGAGGGACTGGTGAGGGGCCTAGGGTACGGACAGGGTGAGGGGACGGGGCCAGGGATAGAGGGGAGGGCACCACAGCGAGGAAGATGGCCAGGCAGGGACAGTCCTGGGTGTACATAGGGTTGGGGGCAGCGGTGGGGGCGGGGGATAAAGGCCGGAGAAAGAGAGGGCGGGGACAGGGGCGGGGCTGGCGTGAGGGCGGGGCTGGGCGTTGGAAGGTAAGGCAGAGAAAGGGTCTGGGGACGGGGCGGAGAATGGGGCAGGGACAGGGTCGGGTGGTGGGGGACTAGGGCGAAAAGGAGGATGGGACGTGGACAGGGGCAGTGTCGGATGAGGCGTAAGGGTCAGGGCAGTCTTTGGCCAATGACGCAGGCTAGGGGCGAGGCCCAGGCAACGTCTGGAGGTCTTAGAGGAAGAGGATGGTGAGGATGGGAACGAGATGGACTGGTGGTCAGGGACACTGGGGATGGGGAGGATGGGGACCGGGGCATGGTTGTCGGGGGAGAACCCTGGGGTGGGACACGGGCGTGGGTAGGGGGTGGGGGCGGGGACAGGGTGGGCCGGGCCGAGGTGGGCGCCGGCTCGGAGTGTCTCCTCCCCTGCCGGCATCTGCCTGTGTCTGCTGATGCCTGGCCGGTCCCATGCTGCCTGCAGAGCCCACCGAGGTGCTTTGGGGGCTGAAGGGAGTCCCCGGGTGGAGGCAGCCTAAAGACCCAGCATGCGTGTGGACCCTACTTCCCCATATTACGAGGGTAGAGGAGCGGCCTGAGAGGTAGTTGGGGGCAGAAGGTTCCCAGTCCGGTTAATCCATCCGAGGTTCGTCTGTGGGTCCATCTGTCCTAAGTGGGGGAGGGATGGTTCAGTCACCCGTCCTGCTCAGATGTACCCTCAGGCGGCCTTGGGCCCAAGCCTTGGACACAGTGCCAGGTCTGGGCCAGGACTAGCTGTGGCCCTGGTGACCAGCATTCATTGACCTGCCCTGGGCTTATCAGTTGCACGGTGAAGACCAAGTTCACTCTCCTTTTCTTTCAAAGGAAGCTTAGTAGCCACAAGCTAGGAGTCATGCGAATGTGTATAGGAATTATTTTTGAATATATCAGATGCAGAATGTCCCCCAGGTCACTTCTCTGAAGTGTTAGAAGCACTAAGAAGTATGTTAACATTTGGCAGCTGTAGGTCAAAGGGTATCGCTCTCCTTGGTGATGTTGTGGGGTGGGGGAGGGGCAGGCCAGGACTGAAGGCTCTTTTATTAGGAGCCAGATTCACTGAAGAAGGCGAGACCAGGGCAGCGATTGGCATTCCATCCTGCGTTTGCAGGAGCATGCAGCAGAGAAGTAAACTTATTTCAAGTGTGGGGTTTTTTGTTTGTTTGTTTTTGGTGAGGAAGATTGGCTCTGAGCTAACAGCTGTACCAATCTTCCTCCACTTTTTATAAGTGGGGCGCTGCCACAGCCTGGCTTAATGAGCAGTGTGTAGGTCCGTGCCTGGGATCTGAACCCGAGAACCCCTGGCTGCTGAAGCAGAGCGCACAAACTTAATCACTATGCGACTGGGCCGGCCCCAAGTGTGGGTTTCTGAAAGGAATCCATTAGCAGGTTTTTCTCAACAGCAAAGAGGGGAGGTGTTTCTGTTTCCCTTCGTAGCAGTTTCTGGAGAGGTGCCTGGATATTTGGTCATAGAAGGGCTTTGTATGACAGGTTTGAGTTTTAAGCCCAGCATTGAGTGTTGGTCCTGAAACAGCACCCATTGTGTGCTGGGCAGGTAGCACAGTGCTTGAGGGCATCTCCAAGCCCGATGCCTGGGCCAGAGAGCACAGGGCCTTAGCAGTGTGCTGACTGGCCAACAGCAGCTTCCATTGGTGTATACCAGACAGTGCCAAGGCTGATGTTGATCACAACAGAAAAAGTGTTTTAATTTTCTAGGCCATCTTAGCGGCTCAGAGACGAGGAGAAGATGTGGAGACTTCCAAGAAATGTAGGTACTTGTGTTTCCACTCGCAAAACAAGGGTGTGTGTTCGGGGTTCATCTCTGTAGATGCGTGGGGTGCCCCCAGGGTGTCGCGGTGGCTGCCACAGCTGAAGCCACCCCAGAGCTGAAGTCTGGGATCAGCAGAGCAGCTGTGGTCAACAGAGGTCAAGAGGCATCCTTCACCCCACTGCCCGTACTGGGGGAGATTCTGGACTCCACACTCTCAGGGCTGTGAAAGTCCCCATCCCTCGGGCAGCCTGGTTTCCCACATCACCTGGGCAGAGGGCACCTGTCGGGCCCGCTTCTTGTTCTGAAATGGCTTTCCTTGTGGCAAACCTGCTCCTGTGCTCTTGTCTCACGCTGGTCCAGGGGCCGCTGGCCAAAACAAACAGCATTCGATCACCAAGAACACAGCCAAGCTGGACCGGGAGACAGAGGAGCTGCACCATGACCGGGTGACCCTGGAGGTGGGCAAGGTGATCCAGCAGGGCCGGCAGAGCAAGGGACTGACGCAGAAGGACCTGGCGACGGTGAGCCTGGCAGGTCCCCTCCTCCCTAGGTTGAGGGCAGGCGGGTGGGTGGGCGGGAGGCCGGTGTTCAGAAAGCACATGTGCCGTGGGCTCTGCCTGCCTGGTGACTCAGGCTTCAGTTGCCCTTGCCCCCGGGACCCTGAAGGCCTGTGGGGAAGTCATGTGAGGCCAGCTGTACCCACTCACATGTGATGTGGCCTTGCATGTGTGCGGACCCCAGAGCCTCTGAGAGCTGCTGTTCCCTAAGGCCCTCGGCCTGCACTGTCCTTGGAGGCAGCTCCCTGTGGCGTCTAACCTGGTCTTGGTCTAGTTTTGCAGCATCTCTTCATTGAACTGACGTGGACAAGGTACATCTTTTCTTTAGAAAATCAACGAAAAGCCCCAGGTCATCGCAGACTATGAGAGTGGACGGGCCATTCCTAATAACCAGGTTCTGGGCAAAATCGAGAGAGCCATCGGTGAGTGTCCTTTGGGCCTTCACTGGGTCTCGGCTGCTTCTGCCTGACCAGGTGCAGGGTGGCCACCCTCTGGGTGGGGTTGATGAGGATGAGGCTCAGGAAGACCCTTGAGGCCACGGAATTCTCCAGAGCCTTAAGAAAATTCCCGCAAGTGACTTGTGTCTTGGCTTCCTCTCCTTTCAAATGTTTTCCACTACCCCCTTTGCTTTGGCTAGTGCCCTCCTCTGAGCTTTGGACAGCGGTCTCAGTGACCCTTCTGTTCAAGCACCAGTGTTCTCCCCCTGGCATGGGTCATGCATTACATTCTGCTCCCATGTGCCCCCTTCGTGGGGTTTCATGGTTCCCAGGGTGTGGGGCTCCCAGAGCACCCAAGTTTCAGTTCTGAGAACAGACATCCGCTCTCGTCTCTTTAAGATCGGCAGGCGCAGGCTCTCAACAGTCCTGGTCGGGTCTGATCTGGGATCCTGGCCCAGAGTGGGGTGGTGCTCCTCCCTCCCTCCCTGTCTCCTTCCTGTGACAGAGGTGGGGGACGGGAGCTGATGCTGAAGGAGCACTGTGGGTGCCCGCTACTGCCTCAGGGCCAATGGGTGGGGATACCGTGGGGCTACTCTGTCCCTTCAAGTTCCAGAGTGGGGGCCGCGGTGGTCAGTGGGCCGATGGCTCTTTCAGGCCTCAAGCTCCGGGGGAAAGACATTGGGAAGCCGATCGAGAAGGGGCCAAGGGCGAAATGAACACAAAGCCTCGAAATCAGTGCGTTCCGGCTGATCTCGTCTGGCTGGTTCCCCTTGACCACCAGCGCCAGCAGGGGTCTCTTCATGTGGCTGAGTGGAACACGGGCGTCAGCCCGGGACCCCCCACCCGTCCTGCTGTCAAACAAACAAACAAAACCTTCAAAGTGTTTGCTGCTTCTGATTTCTTTCTCCCTAACCCCATCCTCAAATTTGGGGGCAAAACCCTGCCTTCCTCTCCCTTGGTGTCTGCCCAGTCCTGGGGTGGTTTCTGGGGGGACTCTTGAGTGGGAGCACCTCACACAGGGGCGGGGTGGGGCAGCACGGTGCAACCCCACGCAGTGGGGCCAGAAGAGAGCAGATGCGGCTCTCGTCTGGCTTGTAGAGAAGCTAATAAATGTGTGCTGCCCGTCCTGCTGGTGATGAGTCCTTGGCCTCCCGTCCTCCTCCCCTCAGGCCCAAGGCGGAGAGGGAGGGATTGTTTTCATGACTGACCCCTGGGGGTGCCTGAGGGGCCAGGAAGGTCACTGTCTGCAGGGTCGGCTCCCATGCACTGTCGGCTGGGACAGTTAGTGGCGTTGGCTGGGCTCTTGGCACTGGACTCTTCCCCTCCTGCCCTCCCCTGGTGCTGAGTCCCCGGTCATGCCTTTCCCTGAAGAACCCAGTGGGCCAGGGTGGCTAGGCAGAGCCTTTCTGTGCATGGGAGGAGAGTACCTGGCTGTGCAGGTGTCACCCCTCCCCAGGACAGCCATGCCCAGTGGGGCCTGCTGGGCCAGGCAGGGTGGTGTCCAACTTTCCTCTGGGGAAGATGAGGGCCTGGGACACTCCCTGGGTTAGAAAGACTCAACTCCTGTTTATGTGTAGGCACACCAGAGACTTTGGCACACCTCTGGGGGGACCCCCTTCACCCCCAGACCCTGTGAGGCCAGGGGGGCAGGAACCTCAGCTTTGCCTTCCAGTGACCTGCTCAGGGGCAGTATGGGGCACCAAGTGGTCTCTGCTTTGAGACGTGTCATTCCAGGGACAACGTGGACCTTCACCGTGGGATGGTGGACATGGGATCCTTACTGTGGGATGGCGGATGTGGGGACAATGACCATGGGGTGGTGGACATGGGGACCTTTGTTGTGGGACGGTGGACACAGGAACCTTTATTTGCGACAGTGGACATAGGGACCTTATTTGGAACTGTGGACATGGCAGGGCATCCGCCCACCAGAGCAGCTCCATGCCACCTTGGACCCAGTTAAGTGTCTGCTGCTCAGTCTGTCCCCTGCGTCTGTGGGGATTTCTCTGTCCTAAATCAGATGCAGAATTACCCACTGCACCTGGGGCTGGACACAGCTTGGGTCAGATTCCCACCAGGTTGGGAACCTGGGGCTGGTCTAAGTGTTGGGGTGCCTGGCTTGCCTGGAGCAGTGGCTTCTTGGGGTCCTACTGTGTGTACATCCTGGCGTCTCTAGCCCCTGTCCCTTTCTGGTTTGGCCCGCCTGTTTTCTGTCACTTGAGTCACTGAGATGTGGGAGGTGCCCCCAAGCATGTCCACTCAGGCAGGTTGGGTTGGATGCGGGATCCCAAGGAGCCCAACTTTGCGCTGACAGGCAGTGCATACACAGACCTCAGCCAGCAAGCAGGGCTGCCCTGATGGGCGTTTATTGTCAGCGTGAGGACCGTGTCTGAGGTGCTGTCTCTGCAGGGTCGGGGCACGTGGGGTCTTGGTGCGTCCTGGGTGCGGTGGGGGCTCCTGTGACTAACTGAGGCCTTTCTGAGTCGTCTACTGGTCGTTGGTGACCGACACCGGCAGGATGACACCATCCTAAGAGGGAGGGAAGGAGCTTCGTGACGGCCGGGCAGCAGGCAGCTGGGAGGGTCCTGTCCCACTGCTTCCTGTTAGTGATCAGGCTGAGCGCGGGGTGCAGCAGCTCCTGCCCACCGCCCCCAGCCAGGGGCTCCTACCGCATTGAAGAGAATGTTGTCAAAGCCTGGGGCTGCAGCTGCCCTCTTGGCCCCAAAGGCACAGTCCCCCTTCTTCCACAGCCAGTGCCTTCCCACGAGTGCCAGCAGTACCAGGAGCACGAGGAGGAGGAGGGCACCGCCAACCACAGCTGGCACTGTGGCCTGAGATGTGGCCACTGCCGCGTCCCCTGTGGGTACAGGGCATGTGACTCCGAGACTCCAGCCCTCCTTGTCAGCCCCACACCCGAGGTGGACACCTGGGGCCAGCTGGTCCCTGCTCCCGCAGAGGGCTTTGGGGTCCACTCTCCAAAGGAGGGTGCCACTCGTGCCAGCACAAGGCTCCAGGCTGAGGCTGGGACCTGGCAGGCTGGCAGCTGCTGGCAGCAGACCTGGGGGACTCACGGCCCCAGGCTAGACCACCCTCAGCGTGCAGCAATAGCGAGTGCTCCAAGGACTGGAATGGGTGGCTGCTGTCTGGCCTGACCCGGCACCTCCTCCAGGGTCCAGCCCACCCTGGAGTGCAGAGGCCCAGGGAGGGGGCAGCGCCAGCTGACACGACTCCTGAGGGACCAGGCACAAGGGATGGCCCAACGCAGGAGGGGAGGGGACAGTACAGGATTCAGCCTTGGCAGCTCTCCTCAGGCCAGGAACGGGGCCACTGGCAGCCACATAGGCCACGAGCCACTAAGCCCGACTAAGGCCCAGACCCAGAGCAGGGCCAGCTGCCCTGGGCAGGGCTTACCCTGGCTGGGTGCAGGCAGCTGGCAGCGCTGCCCGGCCAGATACTCAATGTCATCCAGGGCAATGGGCCCCAGGGCTGGCTGGCCACCCAGCGTGGCTTCAAACACGATCTGATAGGTGGAGAAAAGAGGTTGTGTGGATCCGAGGAGAAGGATAACCCCGCCTGAGCCTCTGAGGTCTCCTGGCCTCACCTGGAACTCCTCAGTGCTGGCCACTTCCAGGCGGCTTTCCAGCCACTGGTGCCGCAGGTGCCCGCCCGCACCCCACAGGACCAGCTGGCCCTGGGCACTGCTCAGGAGCACCCTCAGCTCACCCTTGTCTGAGGGTAGGGGGCCAGGGTGGGTCAGGTCCTTGACCCAGCATGTGACGGGGCTGCCCCTGGGCCCTGCTCCCCCCGCTGCCCAGGCGATCAGTGCTGGTCTGACTCACAGAAGTGCTCGGGAAAGCCCATGTGGTACCAGAAGCGGAGGCAGGAGACCACGGTGGGAGGCAGAGGCTGGCTGCGCAGCCAGGCCGCCCGGCCCCCAGGCCCCAGCACGCCAGTTTCAAAGAGAGCAAAGTGGCCTGGGGATGAGAGAGGGCGAGTGCCTGGCTGACCAGATGGAGCACCCCCACCCCCTGACTTGGGGCCTCTGACCCTGATGGGAGCCTGGATGAGCGGAGCCGGTTGGCCCTGGTTGGGGTGGGGCGAGTACCCCTGGGTGTGTCTCTGGGGTCCCTTCCCCCAGCTCAGACCCACCTGCCTCCGTGCCCAGGGTGTGGTCCACACTGGGCTGGGGGTAGCGGGAGGGTGTGTCTCCACTGCTCCAATCCCAGCTGTATCCGCCCAGGCTGGGCCAGGGCAGGTGGCTCCAGCCACACAGGCCAGCCTCAAAGTCACAGGAAGCTGCAAGGACCTGTGCGGTGAGTGGTGTGGCCCCCGGCCCCCCATCCCTGGGGCACCACCACTGCTGGGAGCAGGGGTCAGGCCTGGCGTCTTGAGGTCAGTACAGAGCTGGTGCCACCCATGAGCCATAGCAGGTCCTGGGGCCAGGTGGCAGGGCTCCCACCTGGCCGAGGGCAGGGCCCGTCCTGGAGGAGCAGGTCGTCCAGAGCGATGTAGGAGTGCTCCACGCCGGCGGCCACAGCCTCAAACACCACCTGGGCAGGCACAGGGCAGAGTAGCCTCACATAGTCTGGAGCCTTTGAGGGTGAGGAAGGACCCACCTGCACACTCACCCTCCAGGCCTGCTCAGCCTGTACATCCACGCTGCCCAGGCGCCAGGCAAACCCTCCATGGGCACTGATGCTGAGCACCTGGCGTCTCCTGGCCTCCTCCACGTGGACCTGCAGGGTGCCTGCCACGCCAAGCGGCCCGCCCAGATCAGCAGCAGTGGGGGAAGAAGGCCCGCTCAGGGTCCCGCACAGGCACAGGGTCTGGGCTCCCAGTGGCCTTGGCACAGGGGCCTGTGGGGACCATTCCGCCTCTCCTCCCGCAGCTCCTCACCTGGGTTTTGGAGGCTCAGGTGGTACCAGAAGGTCAGGCAGGCAGGCTGGGCCAGTGGCCTGTGCTCCTCTGAGGTCAGGGAGGCTATGTGGCCGCGGGGCAGGGCCTGTGGGCTCGTGTTCACCACCATGTAGTGCCCTAGGAGATGCCAGCGTCAGCCTGCCTGCCCCAGCCCCCTGCCCTGCCTCCAGTCCCTTGGCCCCCTCTCCAGGCCTGTACCCTGAGCCGTCTCCGTGGTGTGGTCAGCACGAGGGCCCCAGGCAGTGTGGCCTGTGGCATTGGTCTGGCGCATCCAGAGGCCCTGGCCCCTGGTGGAGAAGCCGCAGGCTGAGTCCTCGAAGGAGCAGCGTTTGGGAGCCCAGCAGGGCCCAGGCCGCACAGCCACGTCATCCAGCGCCATGGTGCCGTGGTACCCGTTCCGGAGGCCCTCGAACAGCAACTGGGGACAGAGGGTGTTAGCCGGCTGGGGCTTTGTCCTGCCCCCACCACCTGGGCACCCCACCTCACTTGGTACTTGGTGCCAGAGTCCAGCTGGTGGTGGAGGGTGGCCCAGGCCTCGTGCCAGCGGTTGCCATGGGTGCCAGAGCGTGACCACAGGTGTGTGTCCACCTCCCCATCCCGTCTCATCACCAGGCGCAGCGTCCCTAGGGGAGGGGCAGGGTGTGGAGGGGACCAAGTCCCAACTTCTGATGGCTTCCCGCTCCCTCCAAAGTCCCTGAGGGGCCGAGAGAGACAGAACTCAAAGCCCCACAGGGTCACTTACCGATCTGGGGTCCGTGAAGGTGGTACCAGAAGGAGAGACACTCCCGAGAGCCTGCCGGCACCTGGGGCTGGGTGAGCAGCTGGGCACCAGGGCCCCGGGCTGGGGGGTCTGTGGGGTCGAGGAGCATGAAGTAGCCTGCAGAGGGACGCGGGACTGAGCTGCAGAGATGCCAGGCTCCAGGAGGGCGTGGCCCAGTGTGAGCTCGCTCCCTTCACCCCCATGTCTGGGAGCCCCTTGAGGCTGAGAACCCCCCTCTGAGAGCCCCCTGCAGTGTGGGAGTTCCCCCAGTCTGAGAGCTGCACCCCAGGTCGGGGCGTCCCGCTGTACCTCGGCCTGTGGTGTGGTCGTACCCAGGGCCATGGCTCTCCATGCGGTGCCAGTGACTGTCTGTGAGGTGGCTGATGTGCCAGCCGCATGTGTCCCGCTCAAAGTTACATGAGATCTCTGGGGGTAGGGCCATGGGGGTAAGCACACTCCGCCCCAGCCCTACACCCCTCCCGAGTCCTGCCTGACAGGGTGGGAGACTTGCCCTCTGAAGCGGGGGCTCCCTGGGACCCCTCCAGGTGGTCTAGGTGGGAAGCCCTGGGTGGGGACTGGGAGCAACAAGAAGGACCTGTGTCTGTCTCGCTGGTCGCCGTGGGGCTGCAGTCCTTCATGATCAGGTTGTCCACCCCCGCGCCCTGGTGCCCAGGGCCATCCAAGTCCACCAGGCCAACAAACTCCAGCTTCATGGGAGGCAGGTGGAAGGGGCTGTTAAGTCAGGGCCAGCTCTGTTCACCACACCCCCCCGGCTGTCCTCCTCACCCAGAAGGGCCGGTGGCGTGCCCCAAGAAGCACCGTGTCCACCTTCCAGCCTCCGCTGCTGCTGCTTGGGACTTGCCACACCAGCTCGCGGTTGCCATCCTCCACCACGACCAGCGCCAGGAAGCCTGCCGAGGGGGTCACTGTGGGTCCGGCCTGACACCTCCACTGCAGGGCAGACCATGGGAGCTCTCACCCGCCCCAGGGCTGAGTAGAGGGTCCAGGGAAATGGTGGTACCTTGGGGGTGACTCTGAAAATAGTAAGCCATGTGGAGTTCACAGCGGGGGCCTGAGGGGCCCAGGGCTGGTGTGAGAACCCGGGCCTCCGCCGTCAGCTGCCCCCAGGCTCTTTGCACGGACAGGAAGTACCCTGGGGAAAAGCAAGGCCACTCAGAGCTGATTGCTTCTGGAGACCCCCAACTCAGAGCCCCTAGTGAAGAGAGGCAGAGCAGGGGCCCCTATGGGGTGCAGTTCAGAGGCAGGTTCCAGGCCGCTGGGATGGGGGACTCCGGCCTCACCAGCAGCAGCCCCGCTGGCATGGGTGCTAGGGACCCTGCTTTCCTGGGCCAGGTGACGCCCCCACTGCAGCCGCCCCACGCTGGCATCCTCCCAACCCCCAGCCATGGGGGTCTCGAAGTCCGTGGTGCCTGCAACAGCAGAGCGTGCTGAATGGCCCCAGGGCCCCCCACTCAGCTCTTGTTTTTTTGTGTATGAGGAATACTGTCGCTGAGCTAACATCTGGCGAGTCTTCCTGCACTTTGTATGTGGGTTGCCACCTCAGCATGCCTTGATGAACAGTGTGTAGGTCTGTTCCCGGGATCTGAACGCACGAACCCCGGGCTGCTGAAGCATAAGTGTGCTAACTTAACCACTACACCACTGGGTTGGCCCCCACCCCCACCCAGCTCAGCTCTTGCAGTGGGGAGGGTCTGGAAGGAGGGAGGACTCCCACCCAGCTCTGACTGCCCCTCACCACACTCCTGCTCGTCCTCGCCCCCCATGCACTGCTGCTGGAAGTCACACAGCTGCTCTGGGGGGACACACAGGTCCCCACAGGAGAGATGTCCTGGCTCACAGAAATCCCAGGGCTGCAGGCTGGATGGCTGGGGCCAGGGCACTGGGGCCCAGAGCCCCGGAGGTGGGCCAGACACCACTGTGGGGACAGAACTGGGGTCAGGGGAGAGTGGGGGATGGGGTGGGGGGAGGGGCTGTGCTTCTCCTTGGTGGGAGGGGCTCAGCAGGCTCACCCAGGACTGGTTTGCAGTGGTCTGACAGGATGAGGTCATCCAGGCCCACAATGCCCCCCGGCCCTGTCTGCCCCGCCAGGACGATCTGAGGGCAGAGGGGACTCAGGGGGTGCCCCAGCACCCCTCTGTCGTCACCACAATCTGCTCCCTTGAGCCGTCTCTCTGCTGACCCACACCTTGTATGTCACCCGTCACTGGATACCCCTCCCGTCACCACCCCCTGCACTCGTCAGGAGGGATCCCTCCTTCCCCCGGCCTGCTCCCACAGCTCCTAGACAAGCCAGCCAGCTTCCTGCTGAGACAGCCTGGCTGGGCCCCACGCCCAGCTCCCTAAGCTCCCTTCCCCTGCTCTCCCATGCCCCAGCCTCCCCACCTCTGCCCCAACCGCTGCCCTCGCTGGCCTCACCCGGAAGGGGTGCTTGCTCTGGATGTCAACTCGGTCTCGGACCCACATGGCCCCCAGCTCCCCATGACGCCTGCGCAGCAGGACGGGGGCCTGGGGGGCTCCGGGGCCCCCAGTCTGCAGGAGCAGCTGGAGGCTGCCAGCCTCAGAGCCGTGCAGGTAGTGATAGAAGACAAGCTGCGAAGGGACCCAGGGTCAGGGAAGACGCTCCGGGGCCTGGGCAGCCAGCACAGGCAGCCCCGCGTCCCCTCACCTGCCTTACCGAGCAGTTGTGGGGGCCTGAGGCTTGGAACTCAGGACTGGACAAGATGGCAGGGGCGCTGGGCTCGGCCACGGAGACCAGGAAGGAGCCTGGGGAGACGGCAGGAGTGGGCCAGGGGGGCCGTGGGTGCAGTGGCCGGGCGTGGGCCTGGGCGGTGGCTGGGAGTCCCTAGGGGCCTCACCCTGTGCGCTGTTCCAGCTGTGGTCACGGCGCGGCCAGGCGGGGCGCTCGGGGCTACTCGTGCTGTGGTTCCGGGCCCAGCCCTCCAAATTGTCCCACAGGCCCAGGCCTGTCTCAAAGTTAGTGGCCATGTGGTGGCCTAGGGTGCGAAGCAGGGCTCAGGCTTTGGAGCTGGGCCTCTTTCCCGGGCCCCAGGCCACATGGCTCCAGCTCCAGGGGGACACTAGCTACCCCACCCCGAGAAGGACTGTGCCAAGGGACAGTCCCTCCCGTGTTCTCTAAATGATTTTGCAGCCCCTGACGCTGCTCACTGCAGAGAGGAGTGTCCTCATCTGAACCATCCCCACAGTTGTCGTCCCCGTCGCACAGCTGATGGGGCTCCACGCAGGCCTTGTTCTGGCAATGATGATGGCCCGGGAGGCAGCGCGCCTGGGGGGCTAGAGTTGGGGAGGGTTAACCCATCAGCATGGCCCCAAGACCCAGGGGCAGGGGCAGCTGGGGGAGAGGTTCGAGACCATCGGAGCCGGCAGAGAGCAGCGAGGAGCTCTGCAACCCCCTGCCCACCAGGTGTGGGTCCACGGCATGGGGCCTTACTGGGCAGTCCACAGCCCCAGAAGGCCAGGTCGTCCAAGGCCACAGTGCCCCTGTGGGTAGCATTTCGGGTAGCAGAGAAGGTCACCTGAGGAGAATGGGGTCATTAGGACCTGAGTCAGGGCTCAGACCCTTCCTGCTTCCCCCACCATCCAGGCCAGCTCCCAGCTCACTTGGAAGTTGCCCCGGATGCGGCCGGTGGCCACCACCAGCTCCTGCCAGCCTGGGCCCCAGGGCCCTGAGCTCTGCCACAGGGTCAGTGTCTCCATACTGTGGGTCAGCTCCAGGCGCAGCTCAGCCACATCTGCAGTGGGTGGGGCCTGGGGCAGCTTAGGCCCCCGGTGGCTCCCCAGCCTGCTGCCTGTGCCCTGCCCCAGGCTCCCTGCCCCTCCTTTGGTGCCTACCTAGTCTCTGCAGCAGTCCCCCTTCCTTTCCTGGTCCCTCCCCTTGGGGTGCCCCCACCTGGGTCCCAGGGCCTGGGTGTGCACCTCCAGAGGCCGTGTGGTACCAGAGCCTCAGCTCACAGGCAGGGCCTGCCTCATGCAGGATGGGAGAGCGCAGGGCTGCAGTGGACACCTCCTTCCCACGGTGCGTGCCAACAGCCATGTACCAGCCTGTCGGGCCCAGAGGTCAGGAGACAGGGCAGGAAGCAAAGAGCCAAGGGGGTGGCAAGGGAGACCGGCCCAGGCCTCACCCAGGTCGGTGCCGAGAGTGTGGTCTGAGTGTGGCCCTGGACCCTCCAGCACAGCTCCTGCCCGGTCTCGGAGCCAGCTGTAGCCGGAGGTGCTGATGTCCCGCCAGCCACAGGAGTCCTGCTCAAAGTCGCAGACAAAGGGGGCGCCCACGGTGGGTGAAGCCCCCTGGTAACCTGGGAGAGCGGGCAGTCAGGTGAGCAGCTCGCAGAGGGCTAGCCCTGCCTGATCCGTCCCAGCCCTGGCTTACCGCACTGGGCCTCATCGGAGCAGTCCCTGCAGTCACACACGAAGTTGCACACGGCCTCGCTGGGGGTCTTGCAGTGGTTGGGGACCCAGGCCCAGCCTGGGAACCCTGCTGCCAGCAGAGACAGCCAGGTGGCCTGGGGCAGAATGACTCCCCTCCCGGTTTGCCCAGGACCGTCCCACATCCCAGAAATCCCTCCTACCCGGGCAGCCCAAAACGTTGGTCACCCTGCTTTGGGGCTCAGGCCAGGAGATCAGGCAGAGAGGGGGCTGGGTCCATAGTTGGGGGGCTGAGACCCACAGAGAACTACCAGCTGGGGGCTCCCTGTCAGGGCCAAGCAGAGCACATCTGGCCCCAGAGGCTGCTGCACGTCAGGATGGGGAACGTGGGCAAGCATGGGACCACGGGTTCCCAATGTGAGAGACCTCCTGGGGAAGGGAGCAGGAGCCCAGCAGGGAAATGGAGGGGCTTCCAAGAGGGTGCTCCCCAAGGGGATGGATCAGTGGGTGGCCCAGGCCCCCTCAGCCTCCATCTGGTCCAAGAGTGGCAGACTAGCATCTGCCTCCAGGGCCCTCCTGCCTTGGGGCCTGGGTGGGACTGGGACCAGGGAGAGCAGAACTCTTGCCCCTTCCCCAGTGGGGCAACCCCAGGACCCCAGGGGCTCAGCCTGGGCCTTGCAATGCCCCTTCCATGCAGGCCCAGCACCTCTGCTTCAGGAGCCGGACCTGATGACTCACCCAGGAGCAGGAGCAGGGCGGGCAGAAGGTGGCCAGGCAGAGGCATGGTCAGGCTAGAGGGAATGGGGCCGAGCGGCAGTGCTCCTCGAGGGCCAGTCTGGTGGGGACTTCGCCGGGTTATCAGCCGGTGGCCCTGCAGGGTGACTCTGCTCTCACTGGAGAGTGGGGGCTTGGCCTCTTCTGTACCTGCGGCCCCTCGGCTAGCCCCACCCTGCGCTGACGAGGACGAACATCCGGTTGTAAAAGCGTCTAGGAGAGGGGCCCCTGGCGCAGGCTGGCTCCCACCTGTCCAGATCCTTTAGACCGAAGGTCAGACCCTGGGGTGGAGGCCCCGGTGGAGTGGTACAGGCTGTGGCCACTTCTCCTGGGCCTCAGCCCTGCCCGGAGCAACCCCTGCCCCGTCTTGGGGGCCCCTAGCCACCAGGGACATCGTCTTCTTCTGTAACTCAGCCTGTGCACCCCTTCACTTACTCACTTGTAAGCAATGGTCATTTATTCATCAACAACGGTCCTGAGCAGTGTGGGCCAGGCACTGCCAGGCAAAGGGGCAGACGAGCCGGAGGCTCTGCTTCTCATGGCACAGACCCCCGGACAGGGTACAGACCAGGCTCTGCCTGCAATTTACGACTGTGTGACCGTGGGAACCTGTCTTACCTGAACCTCAGTTTCCTCATCTACGAAACGTGGTCACGATAACACCTGCCTAGAGAGGCTCCCATGAGGCTGCCTGCGAGCTCGCAGAAGGCGCACACGACAGGATGGCAGCCGCGATGAGGAGCACCCATGCTCATGGTGAGCCACGGGGACAGCTGTGCCTCAGCTGTGCCTGGCCCTGCTCTCCCCACATGCCACTTCCACCCCCTACAGCGTGTCCCCCGCAGCCGTGCACTGGGAGGGTCCCAGGAGAGGGGCTCCCAGCTGTAGGTCTGAAGTCTGTTCAGTTTGAGTGGGAGCTGGTGGCCATGGGGCGAGAGCCGCAGGACCTGATCTTGGAAGCAGAGGGTTGTGCGCCACCTCATGTGTGACCTCAGCTGGCAGATCACATGGGGACACTGACGTCAGATGGCCTGGATGGTGGCTGCTGGTGCCCTCCCTGCCCCACACACTGGGATGGCACCCCTGCCTCAGCAGGGTCAACAGACCCGGCACTGACTCCTTGCGCAAGGACTTGTCGGGCCTCCTCCCAGATGTCCTTGGGGATAGCAGCCGCGTGGAGAAGCAATCAGGCCATAAAGGAGGGCAGCAGCCCAGGGGCCCCATGATCAGACCCCAAACGGCTGAGTGTGCACTGCCACTCCCTGGGGCTCTCGGGTGAGGGGCAGCCAGGAGGGAACCTGTAGCCCCCAGGGCTGCCTCTGGCTCTCTGCCACTCACCCACTCTAGTCAGGGGTCTGGAGAAGTGACCAGAAGCATAGAAGCCAAGACACACAGCATCTGAAGACCAGCAGAACTGACAATGCTTTTAATTTCTGTGGGAGAGGTAAATCCAGGCGCTGATGCCAGGCTGGGTCTGTCTCCGAGGCCTGGCCGGGGTGGCACAGCGCTAGGGGGTGCAGCCCAGCCCCTTGGGAGGGGCCTCAAGGGCAAAGTTCTGAGTGGGCTGCTAGAGGTGGCAGCCTCGGGAGGGCCTCAGTAGCCGTCGTCGGCCCAGGTGACCTCGTAGTCGGGGTACCTGGCTTTGATTTTCTCTGTGGAGACGGAGTGTTGGGCACGACCATAACCCTGCAGAGAGAGGGCAGCTCCTACAGCTCTTATCCTGGCTCTGGGTGTGCAGTCAGCAACGACACCCAGGAGCCAGCTCAGGGAGGGGCCCCATCGTCAACCCTGACCACCCTAGGGAGCACTCCTGGGGAAAGGCTGCTGCCAAGGCAAGCGAACCTTGATGCTGGGCCCGCCAGCCTGAGGCCTGAGCTATCCCAGGTGCCAAGAGAGGCTGTGTGAGTGCCCCTGTGTATCACTGGTGGCTTGGTGGAGAGAAAGCGAGGGGCCTCTGAGTGTCACCCCAGTACTAATGGCCTCAGAAAGCTGGAGGACAGCCACAGCCCGGCCACGCCTCTTGGGCAGCAACACGCTTCATGGAGAGTGGGCAGCTACAGGCCCTGGAGTCAGCGTTCTACAGCTGAGATGGGCTGGGGAGCCCTGGCACCCCAGGTCTCCACGCAGGACAGTGGGTGCTCCTGAGAGCTGGTCAGGTGGCTTGCAGGGTGCGTCCCTACAGCCAGAACTGGGGCCCTTGCCGCTCCGGCAGGGGCTGCGGGCTCACCATGGAGTAGCCATACACGTGGATTTTCTTGTCCTGGCTCTGGTGGGAGATGCGCCCACCTCCCAAGCACTCGCAGCCGTAGCCCTTCTTCTGCATCTCGCCGGATACCTTGTCGTAGATGTCGGCTGGGACGGGGAAGGCGGCTCAGCATGGTGGCCCCTGGAGGCCCAGGGGGTCTGAAGCCTCAGTTCTGAGCAGCTCCTTCCCCAGGAGAGAAGCCCCTCCAGGCTGGGACGGGATGAAAGGGAGGAGGGGATGCGCCCGGGGCCGGGGAGCTGGACTAGAAGACAGGGGTCAGGCCTTGGCAGCCTTTGCCCTCCAGGAACCCGAATCTTCTGGGTCAGCCCAGTTTGAGACCCGCTATAGGGTCACCTCCCACTACGCCCCCTCAGCCCTGCCCCAGATGCCGGTCGGCCCCGCCCCCGGGCCTCAGCCCCGCCCCCAGCCGCCGGCGGCCCCGCCCCGCTCTCACCGTGGTACTCGGCCCACTTGTAGCCGCGCACAATCTCCTTGCTCTCTCCGGCCGGGGTCCCGGAGGGCGGCGCCGCGTGGACTCGAATCAGCACGTACTTGAAGACGCCATCGGAGTCGATGTCCACATCGGGGATCTGGGCGAGGTCCGCCTCCGCCATGTCTCCGAAGCACGCCTGCCGCTGCGGCCCGCGGCCCTTCCCCGCGAGGCCCGGGCTGCGTTCACAGTGCGGGGGGCGGGCCGGGGGGGGGGGGTCCGTGGCCAGTCCCGTGGGCGCATGCTGCCCGGGCCCGGAGCCTTAGCCAATCGTGCTGCCGACTCGCAGCGCCGACGGGCCAATCGCAACCCAGCTCTTTGCGGCCCTGACACCGCGCGTGTCCCACTTAAAGGGGAACGGGGAACTGGGAGAGGGTGGTGATTAGATCCAGCCGACGGAAAAGTTCCTTTCCAGCGAGGTTGGGGGCAGGTGCCTTTGGGGGTGGTTAGGCGGCCCGTGGGGCCTAAGGGACGCACGCTGGCTCTGACCCCCTCCCTACCGTGACCGAAGGTCCTCCTCCCACCCCGTCCCCCCACCGTGTCCGATGATCTCCCTCCGCCCTCCCCGACCCTAGCCGAGGGTCTCCCTCCGCCGCCCCTACCCATGCCCGAGGGTCTCCCTCCCAGTCCCCCACCGCGTCCGAGGATCTCCTTCCTCCGTCCACCACCGTGTCCGAGGGTCTCTCTCCGCCGCCCCCCGCCGTGTCCGACTCCCCCGCACAATGAGGCAGCAATGGCTACATTCGAGTTGTTTTACTTGTTCAGTAAGCGCTCGCCCTCTGGAAATAATTCCGGTATTGGTGGTTCCTGGCCGGCCGGCAGGCTCTCAGGAGTGGGGCCGAAGGCGGAGGCCCAAGAGCAGGGGGCACGGCGGCTGGACTTGGGGGACTGCAAGGGCGAACGGGACAAGCGAGGCGCGTGGCGGGTATAAACACGCGGGCCGAGGCGGGCGCGCAGGCGTGTGGGGGAGGGAGGAACGGACGGGGCTGTGCACCAGGAACGAAGCCGGGGGCGCTTGCGGGCTCCCGGCCTCGCCCCTTCTCCTGGTTACTCGCCCTCCATGGAGCCCGGGCCGGGGCCATGGTGCACCCCAGGGGAGGGCGGGGTCCGAGGGCTACCAGAGCGTGCGCTCCCGAGGGCGGGAGTTCGGCCGCCAGCCTCGCGTCGCCAGCCCGCAGCACAGTGCACAGCCAGAGCGCGCGCGGGGGCGTTTGTGCAATCGCCCCCACTGCTCCGGTGGACTCCCGCCCTGGCGAACTAGCTTGCTCCCGCACCAGCTCCCACCCTCGCTTTCCCCCGCTGGGCTCCCAGCTGGTAACGCCCCTCCTCTGCTGTCCTCCCTGCACCAGCGGGTAGGAGCCCTTCCTATAGGGCCTCCTGCCATTTGCACCCGCGTTGTGCCGTGGCACCCGCCTAGAGCCATCCTGTCTGGTGTAAGCAGGTACCCTGACTCACGCCCAGCCAGGTCTCAGCTCTGGGCCGGCGCCTGGGCAGCGTCCCCACCCACACCCTCTGCTTCCTCCGCCCAGTTCTCCTTCCCCTCTGGCTGGGCATCTTGCGCCTCAACTGTGGATCCCCGAGTACTTCTCCACCGCTGCTTGTCCCAACCCCTCCTGTAGGCCCCAAGCTCAAGGGGCTTCCCCTCCCAAGACGGGACAGGTCAGCAGGGCGGGCAGCTCCGTGTATGTGCGGGCTCGGGGTCTGGCTGTGTCCTCTCCAGCGGGGGCTGGGGCCAGCGGAAACGCACCGCGCAGGGCCCCGTCGGGCCTGCCCACAAGAGCAGGACCAAGGTCAATAAGGTGTCCCCCAGAGAGGAAAAGCCTCCGAGCAAGACGCACCCCAGACCACAGGAGGCTGGTGGGGGGCGTGTCTGAGGGGACGGGACTAGGCTTCGGTCAACTTGGGCTCCTGGACCAGGGCGAACCAGGGTTGGGGAGGTTCCAGGGAGGCCCTGCAGACGACAGGGGACGGACGGGCCGGATTTGCGCGCTGAGGGCTGCAGTAGTGACCTCTCCGCGTGAAGGCAGGGCCCGGCAGTCCTCAGGCCCACCCCATCTCCCAGCGGAGAGCACCATGCGGCCGAGGACCGGCCTCTGGGGAGGTCCAAGAGCGAGCTGGGCGAGAGGCAGTCGGGCGAGACTGGTCGGGGGCTTGTAAGGAGGAGGGTAGGGAAAGGCGGGGCCTGTGGCCAACGCAATGGGGCGGGACGTGGGCGGAGCTTGCGGCGAGCAGGGCGGGGATGGGGAATTCGAGGCGGGGCTTAGGAGAGGCGGGGGCGAGGCTCAGGATGGGCCCTGGGTCGATCGGGCGGGGTCTAAGCGGGCTAGGCAGAGTCTCAGTGGACTCGGAGGAGCTCGGGGGTGGGCCCTGGGTGGACTGGGTGGGGCCTGAGTGGGCTGGGCGGGCCCTGAGTGGATCGGGCGGGGTTTGAGAAGGCTGGACAGAACCTGAGTGGACTGAGTGGGTCCTGAGTGGGTCCTGAGTGGGCTGGGCAGGGCCTGAGTGAGCTGGGCGGGATCTCAGCGGGCTGGACAGAGCCCGAGTAGACAGAGCGGGGTCTGAGCAGGCTGGGCGGGCCCCGAGTGGGTTGGGCGGAGCTCGGGGGGGGGGGTGAGCCCTGAGTGGACGGGGCGGGGCCTGGGCGGTTTGGGCGGGGTGTGAGCGGGCTCGGCGGAGCTCGCGGCTGGGTCCTGGGTGGACCGGGCAGAGCGCGGGTGCGCCCAGCCAGCTACATGATGTCGTCCAGCAGGTTGGCGCTGGCCACCCAATCGAGCGCTCGCGGCTCAGAGGCGGCCATGATCATGCACATGAAGGGGCGGCCAGTGCGCCGGTCCGTGGGGTAGATGGTGGTGGGCGTGAAGCGCCGGTTGTCCTCGACAAACTCGCAGAGCTGCTCGTAGACGCGCGGGAACTCGTGGCGCAGAAACACGCCGCGCAGCCGCAGCTCGCGCTGGATGTGGATGAAGGCCACCTCGCGCGCGCGGCGGCCCGCCTCGCCGTCCTGGTCCAGGCCCGCCGTGCCCGGCGGCGGCGTCAGGATCAACGTCTCCATGTCCGGCTCGCGGCCCCGCGCCGGGGGTGGCCGCGCCGGGCTGCCGGCCGCCAGCGCCACCTTGGCGAACTTGCGCACCGTGGGCCCGGGGCTGCGCGGCGCGGGCGCGGGCCGGGAGGGTGCGCCGGGGGGCGCGGCGCTGGGGCCCACGGCCACCGACACACTGAGCAAGAAGCACTCAGCCGGCTCGTAGAGGCGCCCGGCAGCCGCCAGCTCGCGCGCGTAGCTGCCCAGGGGCGCCGCGTGCGTGGCCAGCTCTCGCAGCGACAGGTAGGTGGGCGACAGCAGCAGCCCCTCGAGGCCGAAGCGTAGGAAGTTGTCTGCGGAGCCGGGACTCGGGAAGCCCAGGAAGAGCACGCCGCGGCCGCGGGACAAGAAGCCGACGCGCGCGATGCGTGAGAAGGCTCGGTGCACCGGGCCGCTGTCGCGGCAGAACTGCAGCACGTGGCGGCACACACTGCCCACGCGGCCGTACACGCAGCGCGCCTTGTGCGCGTCCCAGTCCTCGCGGCGGCACAGGCGCGAGCAGTAGTAGGTGTAGCAGCTGTGACACGACTTGAAGTAGAGACAGGCATTGAACATGGTCTCAGTGCGCCGGCAGCGTGCGTTGGAGCACGTCATCAGGTCGTCCTCGTCGGCGCTGGGCTCTGGGGACCCGTCGGCCGCCTGCCCCGGGCCCGCGGGCTCCTCGGCGCTGCCCGCCGACGCGGGTGGCGAGCGCGGCGCCAGCGCGGGGGCCCCGGGGCCCGCGGGCCGCGAGTCCAGCAGGCGGTGCAGCTGGCGGCCCAGGCCGTCGGCCGCGGCCTCGGGGGCTTGGCCGGCTGGGGGCCGCGAGTCAATGACCAGGTCGGTGATGAGCTCGTCCAGCTGCTCGAGGCTGCGCTGGCGGCCAGAGGTGGGGCCATCGAGGGTTGCCGGCGGAGGCGGCCGCTGGCGGCCTCCTGGCCGTTCCCAGCCCCTGGTGGCTGGGCGCTCCGCGGCGCGCAGATCGTTGTCGGTGATGGTGATCTCTGGCGTGACATACCAGTTGCGGCCCAGGCCCTCGCCCAGGCGGCCCTTCTCGGACAGCGACGTCTCCGACAGCGACAGCGCCGCGTAGCGTCTGGGCGAGGTGGACAGGTTCACCACCACGGGCGGGCGCCGGCCTTCGGGTGATGCGCCCCTAGGCTCCCGCACCTCGCGCCCTAGCAGGTTCTCATAGCTGCGGCCGCGGCCCAGAGGGTCCTCGCGGCGCGGCCCGGGCGCTAGGATGTTGTCCCAGGAACGCGAGTAGTGGCGGGTGTCGGTGGCCAGCCGGGGCGGGCTGGTGCCGGTGCCACCGTGCCACGAGGCGAGTAATGGGCCGGGGTCCGGGGGAGGCGCCACCTGCAGGGTGCGGTAAGGCCGCGGGCCCCAGTCGCCCCAGGCTGGGCTGCCGCGTGGGTATGGGTAAGTCCGCGCCAAGGCATCGCGGTCGCGGTACCGTCCGAAGTCCTCTGTATAAAAGGGACGGGCGGCGGGGTGGGCTCGGGGCTCCTCGGGGGCATAGCGGGGGCCGCAGGGAGGGAGGTAGGCTCGGGGGGCCTCCCCGTAGTAGGAACGGGAGGGCGGTTCCTGGACCGGGAAGGTGCGCATTTCCCCAGCATAGTAGCCGGCCCCACGCCTTGGACTGGGCCCGGGGGGCTCCTCGGACGGGAAGGGCCTGGCGTAGTAGCTGTCGAAGGGAGGACCCGGGCTGGCTGTGAAACCGCCGGGGTGGCCCTCGGGCTCCTCAGTGTAGAAGAACTGGGTGGGGCCTGGCGGGGGGGTGAAGGGCAGACTTCGGCGTTCCGCATAGTCCCGGGGCCCAGGCAGGGGCCCGTCGCAGTACAGCGCCCGGGGATCTGCGCAGTACGTGTCACTGGGGGTGGGGGTGCGCGACAGCGCCACGTGGCGAGGCCCGGGCACTGTGAGGCCGTGGAGCTGCGGGGCGGCGCGGGCCCAGGGCGCGCTCTCGGCGGGCCCCCACGGCCGCGAGCCCCGGGCGGCATGCTGCAGCACCGCATCATCGGGCTTGATGTCCAGGCGGCAGCGAACGTGGGGGGCGGGCCCGGCGGGCGGCTCGGGGGGCGCGCAGCGGCCGGCAGTGGCGCACAGGGGCGCAATGCGGCCAGGGCCGCTCCGCTGCGGCTGCAGCTTGATGGGGTGCAGCTCGTTGGCAAGCGCGCGCAGCGCGGGGTACGCAGGCTCCCGGCGGGGCGATACCTCGGCCCGCGCTGCCCGCTGGGGCTCCCGGCCTCGGCGCGGCAGGACGGGCGGCGAGGCAGGCGCGGGCGCCAGGCCCGGGGGTGCGCGGGGCGCGCTCTTGGAGCGGGCGCGGCGCCGGGGCTCGCCGTCGCGGGGCCGGGAGCGCTGCGCGGCGGGCTCCGGGGGCGGCGGCTCCGGTTGGGCCTCCATGGCCGCTCCGTCCAGCGCCTCCAGGAAGTCGAAGCTGCGGCAGTGGCGCTTGTTGAAAGGCGCAGGCGCAGCAGGCCGGGCCATGGAGCGCTCACATGGCGGGCGCCTCGACGCGGGCCCCGGGGCCGCCACCTTGATGTCCTGGTACACGGTCGACACCAGCAGATCTGGCGGGTCCGTGCGGGTCATCTTAAAAGAGGTCCCCGGGCTGGTGGCTGCAGCTCACTCGGCCTTTCGGGGCTTTCGTCCTGGGGGGAGATGCGGGTCAGGGTGGCCCCTCTGCAGCCCAGGCTCCATTAACTGCCCTCGCTGGCCCAGCTTACCTGGGGCACAGAGGACACAGCAGCCCTGGCTGAGGGCCTTGGCCCAGGGCGCAGGCACTTGCTCCATGCTGGCGTCAGGCGCACCTGCAGGAAGAACCCAGCTGTCTAGCCACTCGGGTCCTGCCCCTGACCCAGACCATCCTTTCTGGGGCACTTTCTGCTGGGGTGGGGCAGGTCAGCCAGAAGGGTGATGCCATTGCTGTGGTTCTAGAGCTCCTGTCCCCAGACCCATGTTCCTGAGCGTCCCCCTGTTCCCACTGGTGACCGCTAGCCAGACTTGGGTAGAACCTCCTTTTCTGGGACAGGCCAGCTGTAGGAAGAATGGGGGTATGGTCCCAGGACCATCTCCTTGGTGCCCACAGTTAGAATGATGTGTCCTCTTTGGAGCCTTGTTTAGACTTTATAAGTGTTGGCTCCACAAAACTTGTGGACTGAAGCCCCCTTCTAGTGCCCAGTGCAGAGGAAGGTGTCCGATGGTGCTGTCTGAGGGCGAGTCCTGGGGCTCCAGCCTTAATTATCAGCTCTGCACAAAGTCACTGAGCCTCCTGCCCCACCTGCCCATCAGGCTGGGCATGGAACCCCTCCCCCAGCGCTGTAGGGGCCACTGCACTGGGGACAGACCGCTGTGCTGAGCTCCAGACTTGAGGCCTCAGTGGGCCCCTGAGCTGGCCCCATCAGGCCCAGGCACAGCTCCTAGGCTGATGACTGGCCTGCCCTACCCTCGACTTTTCCTGTGACCCAGGCCAGAATAATGCTCCAAAGAGCTTACCTGGGCCCTAAAGCCCCTTTCCTTTGCAGAAACTTCCTCTAACCCTCACTGTCTTGGGGTGGCTGAAACCCACCAAGCTGGTTAGGGTTGTCATAACAAGGTCTGGAGAGCGGCCCCCTCCCCCAGCTTTGTAGTGTGTGAACTGCAGCCCAGAAACCAGGCCCAGGCTGCAAGACCACGTGGGGGCGTGTGAGCCACAAGCTCATGGCTGCCCCTCTCCCCTTGAGCAGCGCACTGGGCCAGGAGGCCACAAGCGGGGGAAGCAGGGCAGTGGGCGGGTAAAGTCACCCAACTGCTTCTCAGGAGAGGGCCCTCCCCACAGCGCTCTGGAAGGCTCCATGGAAACCTGAGGTTCCACAGCCCCCGCGATGCGGCTGGGTTGGGGTCCACCCCTCTGCACCAGGCTCAGGTTCAGACTTGGGTGAGCAGCCCCTCTGTGGTGCTCAGGGGCTGGGCAGGCTGGCCAGGGGCTTGGACGGTGCTGAGGGCCACTTCCACACGGTCTGGGGGGCATACTCCAGGGTGAGCCAGGGAAAGCTGGGGCCCAGGCCCTCACGTGGCAGGACCTCTGGTTGTGTTGACCCTCTGTGTCCCAGGTGTGCAAGGGGCTTCCTGCCAGCAGAGCTGCTCTTCTGGATCAGGGCCACCAAGGCCCAGTGCTTGTCCCCATCCCAGCCTCACACCCACCCCAACAGTCTCTGGTTCGCAGGACCATCCCCCTCCCGCCCCCTTCCATCCTAAGCTGAAGGCTGGGATGGAATTGGGGGCTAGATGACAGGGTGTGGGCTCCGCCCCAGGGAGGTGACAGCTCGGCCTTGCTGCCTCTCGGGTGAGGAGCTGGACTGGGTGACACCCCTCCCGGTGAGGATGCGGGTGGTCAGCCCCCGCCAGGGTCCTAGGCCTAACAGCCCCGTGAGCAGCCCTCCCAGCCATGCAGCCCTGTCCCCGCCCCAGCCCCAGTCCCAGCCCTGATCGGGCCACCACCGGTGCCACTCCAGGGATGAGGCCCCCCATCCTTGCGGGTGCCCCACCCCCAACAGGGTGTGTGGGGCAGGGGCTCCGACCCCTTACCTGGATGCTATTCCCGGCCCAGCCTGATGGGCTGCGCAGGCCCGCCTGGCTCCACCGCCCGGCTCTGCCGCGTCCCCGGGACCGGCAGAAGCTTCGAGGCAGCAGTGCCGAGGCCGCCCGGCTGCTCAGTGCTGCTCCCAATGGCTGCCGATGGGGCTGCACTTAAAGGGGCCGCGCTGTGACCCGCGTTGTGCGCTGGCTGTTTTGGGCTGTGAAGGGCATCGGGTGATGATCTGGCTCCCTCAGGGTGTAGGCCTGGGGGCTGAGGAGGGGACCTGTGCCCAGGGAGCAACCTGCTGGTCCTGCCAGCCCCCAACTCCAGGACACCTGCCCAGGGCAGCTGGTGGCCTGGCGGGGCCTTGGAGGAGCCCCAAGCCCTGGCCAGGCTGTGGAGAGCTCCGGAATTCACGCCTCAGTTTGGGCCCAGGCCGGAGCAGATGGGCTGTGCCCCGCCCCACGGGCCTCTGCGTTGCGGTGGTGGAGGCGCCAAGCTCTCTACAGGTACCTGGGGCCAGATGGCCCCTATGTCTGCAGCCTCCTGTCCCCAGGATGCCTAGCCACTCCTGGGCTAGGGCACGCTCCTGTGCCCTGTGTCCATACAGGCAGGTCTGCATATATATGGCCCATTTATAAACACATGGGGACATCCTTCTTCCAGCCCCGCTGGTCCCTTCCCCAATATGACGCTGAGCCAGGGAATACTCTAGCCCAGCAGAGGGGTGGCTCACAGACAGCCTCAGCTCCACAGGGCAGGACCTGCCCCATTGTGGGTCTCTTAGGTGCAGGGCCCAGGGCAAGTTCATTTCATGTTGGCCTGATCCCCCCATTAGTGGTCCCACAAGGACAGTCAGCTCCCAGGCTGTGGGCTAAAAGGAGTCACTAAGGTGTCAGTGTGATGCCTGGGTCCAGCGTCTGCCCAGTGACTGCTGTCCCCCTACCCCGGGGTGTGACCTCTCTAGGCACAGGAGTTCGGGAAGGGGAGGCCGCCCCTGCCCCCACCGTCCTGCATGGACCGCCTGCTGCCTCTGGAGGGAGGGGCAGCTCCAGCATCTCTGAATGGTTCTCCTGGTTCTCCTGGCAACGGCGGGGTGGTGGGTAGTGGGCGTGGGCCGGGAGTGCTGGCAGCTGGAGAGCAAGGCTGAAGGCTAGTGCCTGGAGGGAGCAGGGAGGTGGCTAAGACAGGACTGGGCCTGACATCTGAGAGCTGGAGGACCCCAGCTGTTCCTGGGTGCAGCTGCCCAGCCCTGGCCTAGGTGGGCTGGGACAGGCACGCATGTCGGTGGCCATACTGGCCACCCTGGCCAGCAGCACATGGCACGCGTGGGGCCTCGCCTGCTGAAAGGCCTCCTATTCCAGAGGGCAGCCGCCCCTCTGGGAAAAAGGGCCCTTTGGCCCAAAGGGAGGGAGCTCCCGCCAACCTGTGGCGACCGAAGCAAAGGGGGCCAGTGGACACGTCCCAACTCGAGAGCAGCACACACAGACGCCCGGTAAAACAGGACAGCTTTATGTCGGAGCGGAGTGTGGAAAGACAACGGAAGGAGATGAGTGTCTGAGGACCTCCTCGCTCCGGGCGGCGGCGCGCAGAGCGCAGGAGCAGGTGCAAAGCTGGACACCGAGCCTGGGGAGAGCCTCCCCTGGGAGAGGCGCCGGCGCTGCCGGGCGTCTGCACACCGGGGCCCGGAGGGTCCGGGGGCTCGGGCGGGCCGCGGGCAGCCCTGGCCGGGCCGCGGCAGGAAGCGGAGCCCACTCGCATGCGGTGGGCCTGGGAGAGCGCGTGCGGCGGCCAGAGGAGGGCAGGAGCTGGCGCGCCCCGCCCTGTAAACAGCCTCGCGGGCCTCCTCGGCCTCAGTCCCATCCCTGAGAAGCGCGGGGCCGGCCCGAGCCTGCCGGCCCCCTCCCTGCAGGGGCCCCTGAAAACCGGGGTGAGCGTGTCGCCCCGCCCCGTCCCGGTCATTGGCGGCCAGGCCTAGAGCTCCTCGTAGTCCCCGCCCCCGCGGAGGTGGCCGCCCGGGGCCCCGCCCCCCAGGAAGGCCTCCAGCTCGTCCACCGCCGTCCTCTCCGTGCCCCGCCGCCGCCGCGGCTCCTCCCGGCCCTCCTCTCTGTCTCTGCTCTTCTTGTGCTTGCTCTTTTTCTTCGCCGCCTTTTCTTCCTCCTGGATGGGGGCGCGGGCGCAGCAGGGTCAGGTGGGCGCCAGGAGCGCAGAGCCCAGGACCCCTTGCCGCCGGCTCCTGGGAGGGGAAGGCGGGCGCCTACCTCTTTGCTTTTCTTCTTCTTCTTCTTCTTCTCTTTTTCCTTCGAGGGAGGCCTGCCCTCCTTTCCTGCAGGGATAAGAGGCGGCGTCAGCTCCCTGGCAGCGGTGTGGGGAGGGGCCTGGGCCAGTGGCAGGAGCTTCTGCAGACGCTCCATCTCAGTCGGTCCCTGTGGAAGCTCCTCCTGAAGCGCACACCGGGACCCTCCGACTCTGCCCTGGGGCTGGGTGCCCGGCTAGCCCCGGGCTACAAAGGTGACCTGGGGGCCACCTGAGAGGCAAACCCCCTTCAATCCCAGGACAAACCTGGGAAGGTCTTTTCCTCTCCATTTTGGGGACCACAACCTTCTAGGACACATCCCAAGTGACTCTGCTGGTTAGGGCAGAGCTGGGCTCAAGCAGCCCAGGGTAGAGGGTGGGGACAGTGCCAGAGACTCGTGGAGCTGGCCAGGGCCACACGGAGCCACGAGCGCTCATCAGGCCTGAAGAACACGCCATCTTCTTGCACAGAGGACCACCAGTGGAGGGTCAGACTTAGGTACATGACAGCTCTCAGCCAGCCCACAGCAGTGCTGCCCGTGCCACCAAACCCCTCCTGTGGCCATGGGATCAGATGCCCCCAGCTGCCCATCCCTCTGGGCTGCAGCCCCGTGAACCCCCGAGAGTCTGGGATGTTGTAAGAACACAGCTGGACCCCAAGCAGGACCAAGGAGCACCTGGGATGGGGCTTCGCTTGAATCCAACAGCCAGCTGGCCCAGGCCTGCATGACAGCCCTGCTACTCAGAGTGCCCTGTGCTGCTGACCTTGCTTCTGTGCTCTGGGGGTCAGGTACAAAGGGACAGGGAAGGGGGTCAGAAATGTGCCTCCAGCTGGGCCGCCCTGGATGAGGACCATGGCCTGAGGCACCCAGCACCCAGGGCCCTGCTACCTTCACTGCTGTGCCCCTTGCGGCCCGTCTCCTCCAGCCCCAACCCGAAGAGATCCGAGTCATTCTTCAGTCTGAAGGAGGGGATGGGGGCCTTGGGAGGTGGGGGTGGCTGGGCAGGGCCAGTGTCCTCATCTGTCACGTCGGAGGGATCCTCTCGCACTGGAAACTCCTCCTGGAGAGGAGCGGGCAAGTCAGGCTGCCGGCCCCTCCCTAGCTCCCTCCCTCCATCATGCGGCCCCCTGAGGGCTCCTGCATTTCCGGGCAGGTGACAAGCCCCCTTGTGGGGCCCCCACACTCGACCCAGAGGGAGGGCCGGACCAGGCCTGAGTGTGGCTGCTGGGACGCTGTGGCCCCTCCATTCTGCTGTCACCAGGATGGGCAAACAGGCCTGGGCCTGTACACACAGTCCACCTTGGGGCAGCCAGGATGGCCTGGGCCCCAGGCTCACGCAGACTGACCGCAGCACCCCATGATGCTGCCCAGGCAATCTCACACTTTCATCTCCGTCCTGCCCTTCCCTGCCCACCACTTGTTCTCAGGGCTCTGAGGCAGTGTGGGCACCAAGCGTCCTGTCCTCACCACTCTCCGCTGAGTGTCCGAGTCGCTCTCAAAGTCAGGATCGTCCATGACAAAGGACAGCATCTGGGCGGCAATGGGCCCCTCGGGGTCACTGTCTGATGACGCTGCCTGTTCATCCTTCCCCTCCTCGTGTCCTCGAGAGCCCTCAGCTGGAGGCTTGGTGCTGCCTGGGCAGCAGGGCGCTGTGGCCTTGGGAGCTGTGCCCCTGTGTGGCCTTGAGGCCTTTGTGGAGGACCTTCGGGAGGAGGAGGAGGTCAGGGGGCCTGTGGCTGCCTCTCCCCCTGGGGACCCCATCCTTTCCTTGGGGCCCCTTCCCAGGGATCCCCCCACATACTGTTTGGTCTCTGGCTCAGAGCACTTCTGGGGAGCCAGGACAGTGGCCTTGGGGTGCCCTGCCACATCCTCTGCTTCCTCCTCACTGGAAAGAGTGATGTTTTCCTTGGGGATGGGGCCCATGGGCAGCAAGGGCTGGCCGGGTGGCTTGTCTTCCAGGTCCACATCATCTTGGAAATCTGCCACCATTGGGTTCCTTCCTGGGGCCTCCCCATCGCTGCAAAGGAGATGCAGAGTGGTCAGAGTTCATGAGGGGGCATGGAGCGCCCAGCTGCCCATCCTGAGCCCCAGGTACCTCTGCATCCACATGCCCTGGATGTCCCCTGTGCGCGAGGCGTGAGCACTGACTGTGGGGCTGCTCTGCCCTTGTGCTTGTATTTGCATGAGGACAGACAGTGAGGGGACCTGCTTGAAGGGCGCTCTGTGGAGGGGGCTCACTGGTATTCACCAGAGGCAGTGGCAGAGGCTGGCTGGAGAGTGGGCGCGAGTTGGGGGCTGAGGAGAGGGACAGAGATGCCACCTGTGCAGTGGGAAGTCACAGCAGGGCCTGCTGTTTACATTGGAAGTGGATGCCCTCCTGCGGGGTGGTTGGGGGTAGGCTGTGGGGCCTGCGTGTGGTGACGGGCTCAGCGATGCTCAGGGCACTTGGGGAGGAGCACAGCACTGGGTTCATCCTGCTGTTTTGCATTTTTGGAGAGACACGATGACAGTGGCGATACGTGTGTGGGAGAGGGGCTGGCAGGCCTGAAGCCCAGGAACTGATGCTGAGGGGAGGGGAGCAGGGGGTGGGAAGCTAGGCCTGAAGTTCTCTCTCTTGTGTGGCCCTGACTGGCCCTACCGCATGGGGAGAGAAGCTGGCAGCCACTCGTGGGCGCCAGGGTTCCTCTCCCACCCGCCACAGGGTGCTCTGACAGGTGAGTCACGGGCACCATGGAAATGGGCCTTCAGGCTGTGTGTGTCCTGGACTAGCCTAACACTCTGAGCTTCAGAGTCGGACTGTGGCCAGGATCCCTGCTCCCTCTCTGCAGGTGTGGGGCTCACAGAGCACTGAGGTCTGGCAGCCCTGGGGGGTCGTGTCTGACCCTGGCCTTCTCAGCTCCTCCTGCCACAGTCCTGCTTTTGTTCTCAGAGCCGAGATGCTGCCGAGCTGGTGGGGTGCCCATCCCCTCTGCTCAGCCAGTGCCAGGGCAGGCAGCAGAGTCCACAGCTGATGGGTCCAGGAGGAAGCCAAGGGCTGAGGCTGGGAATGGCAGCTGCTGCACGCGGTGCCCTCGAGGGTGCAGGCCCCTGACTTTACCTGTCGCTGTCCTGGGCGACCTTGGGTCCAACTTTCTTCTCGTCCTTTGTGGGGGCTGTGTCGTCCAGGAAGCTGTGGTCAAGGCTGTCTTCAGGAACAAAATCCTCCACATTCTGGACTTTTATGGGGGCCTCTGCAGCTGTGGCCGGCTCTGTGGACAGCAGACACTGGTTCCCATTTGCTTAGTGCCCACCCTGCGTTATGTCCATCCTGGCTGTGCCCAGAGGGCTGGGACACAAGCAAGGGTGCACATGGATGGGCTGTGGGGCTGCCGGCCCAGGGGAAAGAAGGGTGACCCTGTCCCAGTCTGCGAGTGCTCACAGGGCCAGGGAGACAGCGCTGCCCCACCACTTGGCCACCCACACCCACCTCCTGAGGGGCTGCTCCTGGGGCCTACCTGGGGGTGAAGGGGCCGCCTCGGCAGCCGGGGAGGTTCCAAACAGTCGGGAGATGATGCTGCGCCTTGGGGGTGGGGCAGGGGCCACTGGGGGTGCGGGGGGCAGTGGGGCCTCCAACGGGGATGGGGGTGAGGGGCAGGCCGATGGGGCATTGAGGGGTGGCTGGGGGGCCGGCTGGGGCGTGCTGGGGCTGGAGCTCCCTGTTGACACAGTGCTTGGAGGCACCACTGGAGACTGGGAGCCTGAGGATGGGCTCTGCCCATTGGCTGCCAGGGGGGACGCGTGGCCACGGCTGCGTGCCTCCATCATCTCGAGGAAGCTGGTGGGACAAGGAGCAGGGCGTGAGAAACCCGCCTTCCCCAGTCCTTCCTCTGAGGTTTCTGCTTTGCTGGTGGTGACGACAGTGGTGTCCCTACCCTCAGGCTCAGCAGCCCTCACGCCCCTGGCACCAAGCAGAGCATCGGTGAGAAGAGGTGCCTGGGAGGAGGAGGGCCTGACAGGCAGGGAAGGGCCTGAACTAGGGCGGCTGGCACAAAAGGCTGAGTCTGAGACAAGGCCTGCTGTCCCCAGGCCGAGTAGGATGGCGACCCCTAAGCC